CCCCCAGGGGACATTTGGCAGTATCTGGAGACATATATGGCTGTCACAACACGAAAGAGGGTTGCTAGTGGAGTCTAATGGATAGCAAGGCCAAGAATATTATTAAACATCTTACATTGCACAAAACAGCTCTTCAATAGAATTATCTGACCTGTAAGGTCAATAGCACCAACAATTAAAAACCCTGACCTCTATCCCAAAGTCACAAAGATTTTCTCTTTGTTTTCTTCTAAATGTTTGTTAATTTTTATCTCTTATTTCTATTGATCTACTTTGATTTAATTTTTGTGTATGATGTAAAGGAGGGGTCCAAATTTATTCTCTTGCATGAGGCTATACTGGTGTCTTGGCACAATTTGTTGAAATGATCCCAATGGCTTTTCTGACTCCTCTGAATTATCCATCCCCTTTTCAAAAACTCAAATGACCATAAACATTAAATTCAAATTTATTGTAATTAATGTTTGCATGGCACATTTTTTCTATGATTTTACTTTTAACCTACTCACATCATTATATTTGAAGTGCTGTTTTTTTTTTTTTTTTTTTTTTTTTTTTTTTTGTAGGAGCATGCAGTTGGGTCCTGTTCATGTTCATGTAGACAAAAACATGTCCAAATGTAGGTTCACTAAATTCTTATGTTTAGATTTAAGTATACTAGTTTATTATTTATTTCTGTTTCTTTTCTCTCTTTTTCCATTGTTTGAACATTTTTAATATCCCATCTTATCTTTTGTGTTTTTTACTTTATCTTTGTGTAGATTTTTAGTGATTCTCTATGGATTATTTTTTATTTATATATATATATATATATATATATATATATATATATATATATATATATTTTAACTTTTTAGAGTCTAGGAAGAATCAGTAGTTTGCCACTTAGACTCAAATGTAGAAATATTACTATTATGGGGGATCCTTTTCCTTACTCTTTATATTCCAGTTGTCTTCTGTGTTTAATCTATTAAATACATTGAAAAATCCTAAGATGATGTTACTCTTGCTTTCAACCATAAAACACATTTTAAAGAACTAAAGGGACAATCTCTTATTTATACTGAGAATTTTACTATTTCTATTGCTCTTTATGCATTCCTGGTATTCCTAATTTCCTTCTGATATCACTGTCCCACTCTCTAATGAACTTCCTTAAGGAATTCTTTTAGAACACATTTTCTGGAAATAATTTATATTTAGTTTCTTTAATTCAAAAATGTCTTTATTAACCCTTCATTTCTGATTTTCTTCTGGATATAGAATTCGAGTTTGGAAGTTTTTCTGTTAGCGGTTCAAAATGTGCCACTTTTTTCTGACCTCCATAGTTCCAGAGGAGAAATCTGCTGTCATTTGAATTGTGTGTTCCTCCTCTGATTTCTCAGGCTGTTTTGAAGACTTTTTTTTCTTTTTCTTTAGCTTTCAGCAATTTGATTATTATAGATGTTATAGTGAATTTCCTTGTGTTTGTTTTATTTTAGGTATACTAAACTTCTTTACAAGCTCAGTTCTTTTGGTGAACTTGAAAGCTTTCCACATTTCTTTAAATATTTTTTCTGCATCATCCTTTTTCTCCTCTTCTTTGGGATGCTAGTGATATAAATGTCTGCAGGCCCTGAAGCACTGCTTATTTTTTCAGTCTTCAATTTTTTATGTCTTTCAGCAGGGGTAATTTTTCTTGATCTACATTCAAGTTAATTGATTTTACTCTGTCATCTTTGTTTTGCCATTTAGCTCATCTAATACATTTTTTGAATGTTTTTGTTTTAAATTTCATTCAGCTCTTTTTCATATCTTTTATTTCTTTGTTATGACTGTTTCCACTTATTTCCAGAATATCCACATTAGTTTCTCACATAAAAATATCTCCTCCTGAAAGTGCTCATGATATTTGCCCCATGTATTTTAACCTTAGACTTATTCTTCCTTTTCCTTGTTTTTTTTAAAGGGAGGAAGGGAATTTGGAAACTGAACTCAGAGCTTCACTTGTATTAGGCAAGTTGCTCTATACTGAGCTACATCCCCAGCCCTTTTTATTTTGATTCAAGGTCTTGCTAAGTTACCCAGGCTGGCCTCGAACTTGTGACCCTCTTGTCTCAGCCTCTTGAGTAGCTGGGATTACAGGCATGTCTTATAAAGAACCAGGAGCAGAATGCACAAAAATCCTACTACTTGAAATAATTTGTTGCCTTTACTGTGTTCATATTAGAATGCTTGTCTCAACTAGGTTTCCTCAATTTGTGTTCAGAAAGAGTAATGAACTTAAGGTTTAAGTGTGAATTTTGGTTCTGTGAAGTGCTAGCAGTGTCACTCTGATAAGTCTCTTCCCTCTCTCAGTCACATCTTGCTGAGGTCAAATTGATCTCGGAGGTGCTTTCCTGAAATACCATTATAGAGTTCTCTGGTCTATGAGGCATGGGAAGCAGTATCCATGTTTGTCTGTTGGATATGTTTCTCTCACTCTTGTTGGTCTTAGGATGATAATAGAGACTATTTTATGTTATTAGGGTTTAAAACTTTAGAATTCCTAGAGGGCAGAACACTATTAATGAACATTCAGTGTAAGCATTTATTCAGAGGGGAATAAAGGGAAAATTTTTGTCTTAATGAGAAATCACATTTTATATGTCATGGACAGTGGATATTAACATCTTTCTTTGAATTAAGAGTGATAACACCAACTTCCTTCTGCCAAACAGACTGACAAACTGCTCTTAAGGAAGTCTTCTCAACATCTAACTTGTGTCCCTGCTGCTGTATTTTCCCAAAGTCAACCTGGCCTCCTGGTTCTAACTGTATCATGTTGTTTCTGGACTGCCTGGGGACCCTTGGCCCCTCCACTGCTGTTTTCTCTGCTTTCCACAGCTACTTCAGCTCTCGGCTGCTGCTATAGACAAGGGACGCAGCGTAGGGGAGGTTCTGCAGTCGGTGCTGCGCTATGAGAAGGAGCGACAGCTGGATGAGGCGGTGGGAAATGTCACACGGCTGCAGCTGCTGGACTGGCTGATGGTGAACCTGTGATCGTGCCCACTCTCTGCATCCCCTCTTCCAGCAGTGGGCCCAGCCCTTGCCCCACCCACTCTCCCCTCATTCCCACAGCTCCCTTGTCCTTATCCTCACAGAGCCCTAACGTTATCTTCATACCACTCACATGAAAGACATGTCATCTAATGCTAGTCACTGGATTTTGCACATTTTCCTGTCCATGCGAGCAAGGACATAAAATTAAAAAAATTAAAGAGCTCCGTGTATTTGGTTTTCTTGGCATCTGAAGGGTAAAGATTCAATAAGGTCCAAAAATCTTAGGAGTGAAAAAAAGAGACAAATGGCAGAGGCAAGCAGAATTATGCTGAACCGAGAGACACCAACAAAGGTTGCTGTTTGCTATATATCTCCTGTCTGTGTGCCTCAATTTACAACTCCCCTCATTTTAAATCTTGCCTTAAAATAAGCCACAATTTGTCAAGAATTCATTTTTACCTTTTATAATCATGAAAATGAGAAAAAAAGTTTCTAATATCCAAACAAAATCAGTCTAGTTATATGTTCTAGACTTTACTTCTTGTTGTGGGTCTGCTGAGCGGCAGAACCCCAGTCAACCTCCAACTTTATCCATGATTGAAGATGGTGTCCAAAGAGGTTCCTCAAGGCTGAGGGTATAGCTTAGTACTTGTTGCACATGAAAGAGAGGCCTAGGTTCAGTCTCCAACACGGGGAAAAAAATGTTCCCAAGACCTGAGTTCTCTGGCCAGTTCTGTGACCTTCTGGCTATAGAACCGAGGACAAGTTATAGCACTGCTCTGACTAAATGCTCGTGACACCCCACTTAAAACATTTTCCATTCTTACCCACCTCCCTAGAAATGTTTTTGATCTTTTTTCCCCTCCTAGAAACTTTTTCCTCTTTGTCTTCTAATTTTCCTCCTATTTCTCTAGGTCTCTTAGGGACTCTACTCTGTCATGTTGTAATTTTATCCTACCCGGACTTTCTCTTGACTCTTTGCTATCCTGTGTCCTCTTCCCTAGGTGATCTCTTCCAAATCCATGGCTTCGACTACTTGATATCACCATTTTTAGAATATTATGTAGTATTTTTAAAGGAAACTATGAAGCCAGATATATTTTCCATGTTGTTTATGATCTTAAGTTTCATGTCATATTTTGTTTGTCCTGTGATACAACCATATAGAAATTGTGGTTTATGTAGATAGAACTGAGAAGGGAAATAAGTGGACTTTATTGGATTTGAGGAGTGGTGGATGAATGAAAATATCCTGCTTATGAAATCAACTTCCCTCCTTCAGGAAGCACTTTATCCCCTACTCCTTCCTAGAGAAGCAACAGTCATGGCATTTTCAACACAACTACAAGGTGGGCTTATAATCCAGGTGAGAACCACAGAGGACCACAGTCTCTCAGATACAGTTGAGATACAGTCATTTTTGAGACTTCCCTGCCAGCAAGGAAGACTATCTTTTGACTGGATGTTGGTAGTCATCTTAACTTCTGGGATGAGTCTTCAGTCATCATGATGAAGCTAAATATAGGAAAATCAAGGCAGAAGAGAAAAAGAACAGGAAGAAGGAAAGAGAAAGAAGAGGAAAAAGTAGCAAGGTTAATCTGAGCTCTGATGACCTTATTTGAATTCCTAGATACAGCTGTGCCTGAAACTGCATCTACCCCACCTGATTCCCCAGTGACATAAGATAACAAATGTCCCTTATTACTTAAACTAATTTGAACTTAGTTTTTGTTATTTCCAAACAAAAATTCTGATAGATATAGGTTGACAATCATGGGCAAAAAGAAAAAAAATTTATTTAAAGTACCATTAATGATACTAAATCTACCCCCCAAAACACACACACACACACACACACACACACACGTAGCTAAAGAGTGAGTTCAGGTATAAGGACATCCACCCACATCATTCATAAGAGGAATCAGGCCAATTGTCTATGTGAAGAGAGAGTTGATTTTTTAAAAACAAACCTTTATGCATTGAAAAACAACAATCTGAAGTATTGTACAATATAAGTGCTGTCTTGAATACAAATCACTGGAAAGGAACGGGACACAGGACCCTTCAGCAAGGGTCATACAATACATGGTAAAATGTTTGTATTACTAGAGGAGGAGCTTGGGCCACTTTGTTCTGTGGAGGGTTTGGCCACCTCTGGTTCAGTAACAGCCTCTGGCGTTCTGGGAGCTTCTACTAGAGGAGGCAGCTGGACAGTCTCAGTAGTGTGCTGGACAGAGTCCTGCTGATCAGCTGAATTCTGAACATTCTTAGTGGCACCATCTTTTATTTTGTCTGCAGTCTCTTTGGTGGTCTCATCTGCCAAAGGAGGGAAAAGACGGAATGATGTTCAAATATGAATGACTGCATATTCTAACTTTGTTAGGTTGTAAATCATTTTGGGAAAATTGTGGTTATAATGATATAATAAAAATAGTTCATTTGTAAAGCACATTCTAATGTTCCAGGCATCATTCTAAGCACTTCACATTTACTGATTCATTTGATCTTTTCAGCAGCACTACAGAATAAGCATTATTCTCATTCTCAAAAATAGGCAAATGGATCTGCATCATGGTTAAGTAAATTATCCAGGAGCCCACACCTGGTAAGTGATAGAGCCAGAATTTCATCCCAAGTACTTTGATACCAGTGGCCTATGCTTAACCACTAAGCTATATTACATGTAAAAGATTTGCATAATCCTAGAATTTGTCACTGATAAAAATTCAAAAGGTAATTATAGGGCATAAAGAGGCAGACACAGTGAAAGAAAAGGGAAGGAATAGAAAAGGGATTGAATATGGGAGAAAAATGGAAAATCCCTCATAAGGCGGGTGGGTGGCTATGGCTAAAAGCCAAGTTTCTTGAAAAAGAAAAATTCTCAAAATAAGGAAGGGCAGACTAATAATGTCATAGCCAGAAATAAATTATCCAAGACTAAGTTCAAAGAAATTGACCTTCCTCTAGAAGAACCTGACTCCCTGAACTATGGGAAGAGGACTGTCTGGCTGAGGGCTATACCTGTTTTGGTTGAGTGATGATACTCTTGAACCTTGTTCTTGCTTATCTCAGAAGGAAGAGAGACATTGGGTTTCCTCAGGGACTGGGGCCTGGGCCGTGGTTTGAGGTTCCGTGGCTCATGAATCCAAGCATGCTTGAGGGCCTGATCAGGGGTCATACGAAGAGAAGGTTCCCATCTGCACATCAACAAAGCCTGGCATGGATTACTCTTTTATTTTCTCTTAATATTAAAATAATTTTAAGAACCCAATAAAGATATTTTCATTGAGCTATGTCCTAATCTCAAATATATTATCACAGAACAAAGATTATATCAAATAATTTAAAAGTATCTGAGAACAACTACTAGAAACAAATTTTTTTAAAAAATTGTATGGGAGCTGGGGAATTTATTAAATTTTAAATTTTCTAGATTTCTAGAAATTTTCTTACAAGAAGTATTATTTAAAAACCTTACCTATTTGGAATTAGGATTTCATAAGCTAAAAAGATTAGAAACAGATATTTAATTTCAATTCCCAAGATGTGGGATTTGGACCTCCATATATATCATAAAGGAAATTATAGAATTTTAGAATATTAAGATTTATAAGGCGACTTGGATATGATACAGGCAAACTTCTAACAAAGTAATAAAATGCATTTGACGGAATTCCCAACATAGAATTACCTAGCCATTCTCAAGTAATATCAGTAACTTGGCAGTAAAGTCACAGATCCTCCTATTCCAATTTTTAAAAACTCTGATTCTTTAAAAGTTCTTGATTTTTATTGGACCAAAATTGGCTCACTTTTCAGTGAATTTTACCCAGGTCCTAATTCTACCCATTAGCATTTTACAGAATAAAATAATCTTACATGTCAGAGTCCCTCAACTACCAGAAAAGACATCACTACTATTAGTCATAGTTAGTAGTTTCCACCATCTAACCACCTTCCAAGGTAGGAAATTCTAGCTATTGTCCATCATGCTGGGAATGAATAGCTGCCAACTGCAGGGAGATGGTATTACTAGTCCAGACTCAAAGGCATGAGCAATTCAAGCTCCCAGTTTTTTGTCAAATGAACTGCTTCTTAAACTTCATCTCCCCTCTTCTGGACTTCTGGAGCCTGCCAATAAAACCTGCACATAAAGCTAGGTGTTTACTAATCCTATTGACTTTAGCTAAAAAAATTTAGTCTCTCACTCCATAAATTGCTGATTAGCAGTATATAGATTAGGGAGTAGACCCCCATCAACTTGAATCATCTCTTAAAAGTCGTGAGCAATTGATGTTTTACACTAAAAAAGAAAATAATATTTTTCTTGTGCTAAGCTGTGTTCAGGATGGCTGGGTTTCTAGACAACTCACCTGTCTCACTGGGCAGTTTCTGGCACTTATTAAGGCACTGAGCATGGAGCTGGGGGATATGTTGGTAAAATGGGGTACAGAATCCTTATCTCAATTATTCAGAGAAGTAAATAGTATAACTCCCATAGATGAAAATATTTTCAGTGGTATCTGATGGTTTTCCCTCTAAGCTAGAACCTAAATTACAGAATGCACAAATGCCAAAGAAGTATTTTGCTAAAATTACTCCACTGGAATAATGAGAGAATAATAAAGATATGGTCTTCTAAAACTAAACAACTGTAGAACTGATAGAGATGGAAGGTGCTTTAGGAATGCCCCCACTTTATAGAAAAGGAAACTGAGGCCCAGAGAGAAATGATAACTTGTCGAATAGCACTCAGCTGATACTTGCACTCAGTGGAGATGGACTTGAGAAACTTCTTTAATAGTAAAATAGAAGCAATAGCCAACATTTTCCAAGAACCTTACAAACTGTACACTGTGTTGGGTGCTTCGTGTGGTAACTCCTTTTTCATTGTGATTTGATCAAAGTACAAAACCTAATTTTTAAGATTCAAAATATGCATATAGATTGTAAAAATTGTACATAATAAATGTTTTACAACTCACCTGTCCTCTAGTTCCCTAATGCAAGAGGATTTGGGCACTGAATCCTAGGGGAATAGAGAGGGGCTCTGAACCTAGTATATACTGGTTATAATAGGCTCACTGAAGAGGTTGCCTTCCATTCAAGAAACAGAAGACATTAGGATTTGCTTACAATCTCACTGGCATGCAGCTTCAGGTCAAGAAGATGACAAATCCTAACACACACTGTAATCTCTCCTGGAACCCAGCTGCATATCTGCAAAATACAGCAGATATCTGCCCTGATCATCACACAGTAGGGGGAGAGCACTGTTTCATGAGGCAGACATGAAAGCAATTTGGAGACTGCAAAACTCTACCATTGATGTTTTTATAACCATCTCCCAGTCTTAGACTTTCACCAGCAAACACATGCAAAAGTACAAGTACTTAAGAGGAAACCCAGTACTTAAGAGACACCCCAACAAACTCACACCAAACACCTTCTGAGAAAGTCCAGGAAGCTGGTGTCATAGGTTTTCAGCACCATCGTGAGATCCTTGGAATCCGGGTATCTTTTTTTCCCCCTGTTGTTGGTTATAGTTTTAGGAAAACCTTTGGAATCTTTAGAGATACAATATTCTGTATTTAGTTCCAGGTGTAAATACTCACTGGTCACATCACAGCTGTCCACTCAACCACACTGCTTCCTGAAGTCATCTTTGCAGCTCTTCTACTTTCTGTCTTAACACACACCCTAGCCCACCCATCTCCATACACACACACACACACACACACACACACACACACACAGTCTCAGTCACTTTGAAATAACCCAGGTCGATTATTCCATGAATGCAATTAACATTAAAAACAATTTTGCTTACTATTCAGTAGGTTCTGAGCCTCTCACACACAACTTCTCCTCAAATCAAATGACAGTTTAGTTGAATATAAACAAAGGCAAGATAATAATGATGATGAATGATAATGGTGATGGCAATGATAATCTGAAGTGTCAAAAATGGCTTTGAACAAAAAGGATATAGTCCCTTTCTAAACTATCTGTGTCCTCACTTCTTCCCCACTAGCCCAAGTATGTGAAAATTTGGGACATCCACAGGTACAATAAAGAAAGCTATTTTAGGAGAATGCTCTCAGGGCTCATTTTCAAACCATACAAGCAAATCATCCTCATTATACCTTTACACTTATATCAAAATTTTGACCATAATTGGAATATTCCAACTTGGTTGGTTGCTGAAGACACAGTTTAGAATGGAGACAAACCACCAATGTATGGTTTGTCATCCCTGAAAAGAAGACCCCAAAATAGCTCCAAAGGTTTCCAAGGATATTTTGTGAAATGCTTTGAAGGTAAGACCATTCACCTTGACATTCAGATCCTTGTGTATATGCTTAGAAAAGTTGACCACTTATTGCTTATACCCTGTAAGTCTACGCCTAAGTGGTAAATTTGTATATGCACACACAGTTTACACTATTGAATTCTCACAGAACTCAGTGGAGTTCATGTTATGCACATTCTAGAGGGTAAATAATAAAGTTCTACTACTTTTGTAACCAGTGTAATTTTCAGGTCCTCCAAAAGACAACCACTCTTACTGAATTCCTAGGAAACTCCCATAAATGTGTACATGAGCGTGTGTGTACATACATACACAGATATCTCTGTATTGATATGCATAAAAGTGACTGGGGGAATTATGTTGCTCTTTTTTGTTGACTAAAGAATTATGTTCACCAAAGAAGAATTGTGCTCCCAGTTCTCTAAACAACTTAGCTCCTAAAGTAACATTTAAGTAATTGTTTTTCTCATCAAAGTCTTCCTCACACCTCTGGGCCTCCCCAATATCTAATCATTCTCTCCATCTTCTTCCTGCTGCTGCCTCGGGCACCTAAGTGTCTCGCTATCCTTGAGGCAACATCACTTCACTGCTTATGAGGAGATTAACTAGGAGTGGCTAGGAGCTGAGAAACTGTTGGCAGTCCAAACCTAAGAAAAGGAAAATCAAGAACCAACATGAACACAGCATTTACCATAGGCACCTTGTCAGAAGACTCATAAGGAGCTGTTGTCAAAAACAGAATCTTGGATCCTGCTTCAAACTTGCTATCTCATAGATCATTGAGAATGATCATGGGAATTAGCATTTTTGCCAAGTGCCCAAATGATTCTTGTAATTTGAAAAGTTTGGGAAACACTGGAGAGTAAAGACTCTTCTTGCACAGGAAGTGAAACTGTGTGAATGTTGCTACCAAAACCCTATTGCCATCCTATAGCCTAGTGCTGATGGTAGAGATCAAGTAGTCTGTGAAGTGGACATGCATATGTCTTTGGTATCTCCCCACCAAGATGCCCTGTGGTCCCTTCCTTCTAGTCACCACCATGATGCTATCTCAGTGAGGTCAGTGTTAAGGCTTAGGATGTGACTCTTCTCCAACGACTTTGTCTAGCAGGAAGAAACATTAATATCCCCACTTTTCTTCCTCCAAATCCTTCAAAAATCCAAAAGACTGAATAATGTAAGTGGTGGATGGGGAAAGTATATAGGGTCAAAAGACCAGTCTTATTGCTTAATGTATATCAGTAAGTCAGCTAGAGCTTCTGCCTACCATCTAACAGCTCTGAAGAAAGGTGAGTATGTGGACACCATTTTGTGGCAACCAGGACACGCTCTTGATCAGAGAGGCAAGGTCTTCAAAGCTCTACCCACAATTGAAAGATGATATTTTAAGAGATTTAATCACTGGAATGGCATGGGACCAACTAAGAATGGATGATACCTCACCACTGAACAAAGAAGGATCATGGAACATCTCTGCTTGCTAAGCCTTCAGCTTTCAGTTTGGGGATCATGGGGAGTCCATGGAGAACAGGAAAAAGGGTCAGGAATCCTATATAGGGCTCAGGCCTGTGATGTTTTACCAAATGGTATAGAAGGAGACTACAGTATAATCCCCACATACTGAACCAGTACACACTGGACAGCATAAATGAAACCATTTTGTCTCAGTGGCCCCCCCATGAGAATATTTTGACTCTCCTATTGATGGGGCAAGTTGTGAAGTGAAATTGTGTGACTTACATACCCATTCTAAGGCCACTTTCAGTTGAAAATGAGAGTGGGAGGGCTAGGAAGACTGGGATGGCATAGCCTGTGTGAGCCTATGAACTAACCTGACAACAATAGCTTGTCAAAAATGTCATTCCAGAAAGAGACCCTCTTTGTTATACAGAATACATGTATGATGATGTGAGGGGGAAAAAAAAAGAAGTATGTCACATTAGATTGGGTAGAGAGAAGTGATGGGAGGGGAAGGCGGGAATGGAAGGACAAGAGAATAAAATAGACATTATTATTGCTATGGGTATATACATGACTGCATGACCAATGTGATTCTGCAACCTGTACACTCAGAAAAATGAGAAATTATACCCCATCTGATTCAAATGTATGATATGTCAAGATCATTGTACTGTCATGTGTAACTAATTAAACAAATAAAAAAAGAAAATGCTAAAGAAAAAAGAAAAAAAAGAATTGTCATGCAAAAAAATCAAAACAAAACAAAACAAAAATCAAACAAACAAAAAGTACATGTATAAAGACATGAATTGGCATAAACATACTTTATATAAAAAGATATGAAAACTTGTGCTCTAAGTGTAATAAAAATTGTAATGAATTCTACTGTCATGTATTTTAAAAAATTAAATCAATAAAATATTATTTATATTTTAAAAAAATGTCATTCCAGATGGCAGGAAGGCCCTGTCTGTAGAGTCTTCTCTCCCTCATGTCTGATTTTGCTCCATGTTGATAACATTAAGGCCAATATGACTTTTAAAAAATATTTAGTTGTAAATGGAAACAATGCCTTTATTTAGTTTTTTTTTTTTTTTTTTCTTAAATGTGGTGCTGGGGATCAAACCCAGTGCCTCATGTGTGAGAGGCAAGCTCTCTACCACTGAGCCACAACCCCAAGATGACTTTTTCTGCCTCAGAACCCCTTAAGCTTTTTGTGGTTCTTCAGAGAGAATTTAGATCTGGAATTTACTTTATCTTGTCAGTGTCCTGGAAGCCCTACCTCAGTTGGTATCCATCTGTTCAACGTGTACAGCACCACTCACATAGAAAGACAGAGCATCATAGAATTCAGGGCCTGGGAATTGTGATGAGAGGGGCAGCACAGGGCTGCAGATAACACTGAATCCCAAAACTCAGACACATGACCCAATCATAATTGACCAGCAACAACACATCTACACCGAAATTGTTCTGACAGGCCTTAATTACCCATTTTATGACAGAGTAACAGTGAACCTGGGGCAGTAAGGGTCTTGGGGATTAGAAGATTTGGGGCAATAAAAAATAATGTTCCATTAATGATAAAACATAGCAATGAAATTCCCCACTACTCTCTAAAAGAAGTCTGCTCCAATATTTCTGCACAGTGCATGGCTTGAGAGAGCAAATTGCTTGGGAAGGTAGGGAGAACTAGGAGTGGAGATCATTATCTTCTGAGGTTCTAACACTTGCTGATAGGTCTTCTGAGTGGGAACCTGATCATTCTCCTGCTCCAATGCATTTGTATTGCCAAGAACCCATTCCCCTTGTGATTTCACCCATCTCATCTCCAGCATGCCATCTGGGACCACTTTTCATTGCCTGTAAGCTCCTAAACCACATCCTGCCCTTTGGTATGGGGACAGGAGAAAAGCAAAATATGAGATTTAGGGTATGGGAAGTACCTTCAAGACCTGTGACACCTCTCATTAGACACAATGAGATAAAGAGATTAGACCTGGGGACTTACCAAAGAACGTCTGTCTCCTGGAGGCCGTCTGAATGAAGCGGGCTGGCGGCAGACCCAGCACCTTCAACAAGCACAGTGTAGTTGGTTCACTCTTGGTGAAGTCACAGATTCAAAGACTGTTAAGAGCTAGGTGGGACTTTGGCCACGTTTTGCCTTTTACAGATAAGAACTTGAGGATATTAAGTGATGACATCAAGTCAGTAGCATGGCAGACCCAGAGCTCATGTCTCCAGGGCTGTCTCAGTATCTTAAGATTCACATGCTATTCTAAACAGACATCAGCACCAACAAAGGCAAGCCACCTCGATAGCAGCCAGATCTCAATGTCAGTACATGCTGATCACATTGAATTAGGAATGACACACCCCAGCATGGAACACTGGGAAGAGAAGGGAGGGAAAGGAGATACAAATCACCAGAGAAGGCATTTCTTGTAAGATAAATTCCTTCTTGGAAAGAAAAGTATAGGCCTACTTATTCACTTTTCTCTACTGAATCTTATAGGGATGTACAGATAAAGAAATTTATGGGTTGCTCTCAGCCCTAGGTTTCTGGCCATAATCCATGCACAATCCTGCCTTCCTGCTCCTCAACCCTACAGATATCAAGGGGAAACTGAGTCAGTGCTGGGGCAGTGGGAAGCTCAAGCCAGATGCCACATTCACCTTGGTATTAGAAGCAGGAATGGTTCAGGGATATTTCATAAAATCATTACTAGTCTTAGAAGTCATCTGGTCTGACCCTCTCATTTTCCAGTCCAGAGTAGGAAATGACTTGCCAAAAAGTCAGAACAAGGGCTAGCCCCCAAATTTACTAACTCCCAGGCCAGTGTTGATTCCACCATAGTTACCATTTCTAGATATTTTCATCTAAATTATTTTAATATTTTATTATTAGTTTCAAACAACAAATGAAATCATCTATATTTAATACTTCTCAAAGGCATGTGTCACTGATTAACTTTGAGACAATCTAGAAAACAGAAATTTAGCTTTTGATTTAGAGAGATTCACAGTCAAACTTTTATCAGTTTACTAGGAAAATCCTAAAATTTGAATTTTTCAAATTTTTAGTTATTTTCTCCATTTTGTCTAATTTAGCTCTACAAGAAAACTTCATTGAAAAAAATGAGATGTGATTAATAATCCTGTGATGAGTCTTAGTAAAGCCTTTTTACTGGGAAATAGTCCTCCCAGGTTAAAAGAGCAAAAGTCATTACTGAATGCTGCCTATTTTTTGTCAGATAATTTCCAATTATTTGTTTCAGCTGATAGGTTGATAAAAATAATTTCTGATGATATATCATTATTCAATTGTTACACAGAATTTAAAAAAAAAGTCACAGAATGAGGCAACATAACTAGAACAGGTTTCCTTCTTGGGCTCACATCTTTGGAATCAATGTATTGTAACGGCCTGGTCCTGAGCCTGTTCATTGTAGCAAGAAGTAATGTTGGGGCTGGGATTGTAGCTCAGTGGTAGAGCACTTGCCTAGCATGTGTGAGGCACTGGGTTCAATTCTTAGCACCACATATAAATAAATAAAATATAGGTCTATCATCAACTAAAAAAAAATTAAAAGAAGTAGTGTTCACTTACAGGTATAAAAATTAATGGGAAAAAGAGAAAACTCAGCTCCATTTATTCTTCTAAGAGGTGTATACAATGTGAAGTAAAATTTCACATTTTATGCCTACTAATTATCCTAATTTATGCACTAGTTCTATTTTAGTGATCTCTTGAGAAAAAAATTCTACACATGGAGCTTATGATAATAAAAATTTGAAGTTATAGTGATTGATATATTTAAAAATAAAGCTATGTTAAATTAGAATAAAATTCTATACATGAGTTAGAATTTTAAAAAGTTCATTCAAGGAGGAAAAAGAGTTAAAGAAAGGTACAACTGTTAAAGAACTTATTCATGTCCTTTTAAAGGTAGATTTTGGTGGGTATTAGGTCACTCTTTTTTTAATTCTTTTGGATATATTTGAAAGATTGCTTTAACAGTTTTACTTTAAAATGTCACAATTTACATTAAGGGGGAAATAGCATCCTTTGAAACTATGTAAATTTATAATAAAAATGTTAGTTCTCAAAAATGTACAAGAAGTATGTAACTTCAAAAACACTTTTAGGGAAACTTCGACCAAAGGAAAAAAAAAATAGTACGCAGGCCACTGCCCTTGATGAGTCTGATGTAGCCCAATGTCAGGACTGAAGCCATCCAAGGACACCAACCAAGCAGGCCTTCCTCCTCACCTCCATGATGCAGGCCAGCTGCTCCACCTCATTCTCCCCCGGGAACAGAGGGTAACCCGTGTACAGCTCTGCCAAGATGCAGCCCAGGCTCCACATATCAATGGCCATATTGTAGGGGTGACCCAGAATCACCTCAGGGGATCGGTAGAACCGGCTTTGGATATAGGTGTATACTATTAGAGCAAAAAGAGAAATCTGATGTGGGAAAGCTGGCTTTCTCTCCAGGGCCCCCTCTCCAGGATACTTTGGCAATTGAAGATGGCAGATAATTTAGAATCCCCTATCCCCACCTTCTTACCCTATTGAGCTCTGCAAGATGAAAGTAACATCAAAAACAAAACATCATCAAATCCTCACAACAACCTGATGATAAATGAAGGTGCTATTATCCCCACTTTATTGATAAGGAACTCCAAAGTAGGCATTGTTCTGAGCAAGTTAAAGCAGGGTACTTTAAAACATTTTATGTCAGACAAGTTTTTAAAGAAGCAAATCATAAAACTAATATAAACTAAGTTTTCATACTGTCAGGTGAACTTTGGAAAGATAATTTCTGACAGTATTGTGATTTGGCACTGGGGGAAGCATATCAGAATTGGAAGTGTACAAAATGCAAAATTTAAATTCAATGTCTATTCAATATATTATATATATTTATTGTATAATGAAGTACTAAAAGAAAAGCTCAACAAAAATCTCAGCAAATAAAGATAGAAAGAAGATTATATTGTAGGGGGCCTAAATTTTATAGATAAGGAATCTATAATTTTATAGATAAGGAAATCTATAATTTTATAGATAAGGAAACCCGGGGAAATGCAACATTTTGATTTTTTCTGTGTTGTGATTTCCTGGATTGGGAGGGGCCGTAATCACTTCTTTAATGTTTACATTGGTTATAAGAATGTAATAATTCTGTAACTTAAAATAAATGTTTGATTAAAAACAACTTTTATACCATGCCTTTTCCAAAATGAATTTGAGTACTATGCCAAGTTCATATATATAGGGTACTTTAAAACATGAATTTAATGGCACCTGTGAGGTGCTTAGCATGTGCCAGGCACTATCCCAAGTGCTTTATGTAGATGAATTCTTTCAATCCTTACAAAAGCCCTATGAAGCAGGTACTATTTTTGTCTCAATTTTAAAGTTAAGAAAACTGAGGTTAAATGAGCTTCCAGTCATTCAGGTCATTCAGCTTCCAGTGAACAGAGCTAGGAATTGAAACCAGGAAGTCCAATTCCAGTATCCATACTCCATACTGCCTCATAGTTAAAGATAAAAGGAAAGTCAGGAGAAATATAAAGGAGGAAGTTACTGTCAGAAAGCAAGTATACGGTAATTGCAAACTCAGTTCTGAGCATCCTGGCAGCCCAAGATAAATAGTAACTAATAGGTTAATACAGTTGCCAATATCTAAAAAGAGTAAACATACAAGTTTTTTATGGGGAGCATTGTTTTCTGGATGGAATTCTTATAGGATCCATATGGAAAAATATATTAAGGAGATAGGTCCTCCAAAGTGGTTCTGCAGACTATTTGGGAATACCTATCCAGTAGTCCTTTCTGCGGCCTCAGAGGGCTCCCTCTGACACATTCTGACACCAGGAAGGCTGGTCCCAAAGTCTTTTTGTGTGTGTGCCCTTAATAGAGCCTGTGTATCTTCCCAATCGTTCTACCTATTTTATTTTACTTTTTTTAAATCTTTCTGTCTCTTACATTATATATAACAACCCAGGACGGTAATATTTCATGTTTTGGTTTTGGTACCCAAACCAGCAAATGATGAATACCAGAAAATAGACATTTGTTGAATGGTACATGTTTTCTACATCAGTCTTGACAGAAGCCAAGTTAATTGAACTTAAATCAAATCCAATCAAGGTTGATGCAAATGTGCTCCGGGGCTACTTCCTGCATTCTAGTTTGGAAAAAAAGTACAAAGCCTAGAGAATCTAGGACAGTAAATCCCAAACATTAGAATGGCTGTTTTCTAAAGTGCAAACTCCTGTGCACTCTCCAGAAATTTAGTAGGGTGAGGCCTTGGAAACTATAATTTTTCAAAGCCCCAAGGTGTTTCTGATACACATATAGTTTTGTGACCCAATGTTTATTTGTAACTTCATGTCCACAGAATATAAGATCTTTAAAGAGCCTCTATGGTATTTGAATCTAATTTCTCATTTTATAGATGAGGAAACTTAGGCTCAGAGAAGTGAAACACCTTGTTCAAAATCATACTTTTTGTAACCCTGGATGGCTGATCCTAGATTGGAACCCAGGTAGTCTTGTGTGTAAATGGAGAGAAATTGCAATGGGAGAACTCAGACAGTGGGGAACCTACCTTTCTGGTGCTCATAACAACTGGACCCAAAGTCAATAACTTTAACTGCGATTTGGCCCTTTTGGTATAGCACTATATTTTCCTAGCACAAAGAGAAAAAAGACAGGTCAAGTTTATAAAAATCAATGTTGCCCAAGGTGCCCCACTTACTTAAATGCTCACCCCTACAGGGCCTAGTTCAAATCTCACCACCTTCAAACTCCTCCTCTGGCATCTTCTCCACATTCCATTGTGCTGTCCTGCTCTTATTTCCCATTGACTTGTAGTCTACATCTTCTTTGGATTAATTATTCACTGTTTTGCATGTACCTTTCCCCATATTGATTATGTAACTCCTGAAGATGGTGGGTTTATTAAGATCTTCTTCCACACCCAGTTCTGTGCCTCACTTGCCTTACAAATGTCACTGAATTGGTTTACTGCCCCTGTAGACCTACCACTATGACAATAAAGAACATAAATAAACAAACAAACAAATAAATAAATAAGTAACTAAATAAGTTAGAATTGGGGTTTGTGTGTCTCACACTGACTTTGGGGAAACCATGAAATGTCAAGGTGTAGCTTCTGGGCTCTCCTTTCAGCACTGGCTGAGGTCGGAAGATTAAAGTCCTACTTGTGCCTCATGGATCTCACTGTCAGATGAATGGATCATGTCATTGCTTGCTGAGTACATAACATGGCACATATGACATAGCAGGCCTCTTCTGAAGCCTCTGGTGCCAAAACTAAAAATCCAAATTTACTCCATGGTATCTTTTCTAAAGAATCTTTGTGTTAATGCAAGGAGGATAATTAGCAGAAATCTTAAAAGAATTTCTAGTGTGTCTCTAGCCCAATGGAAAGAAGACCCCTTCACTAGATGGGGCTGGCCCTTTGTTATGATAAAAGCCCAAAGTTTGCTGTGTGGAAGGCTTAGTCATCAGCCTATGGCATTGTGGAGAGGTGGTAGGTCCTTTAAGAGCTGGGACTAGTTGGAGGAAGTTAGGTCACTGAGGTTGTGCCTTTGAAGGGGATATTGGGACCCTGTCTCTTTCTTTGGTTCCCAGCTGCATGAGGTAACAGCTTTGCTCTGCCATGAACTCCTAATGCCATGTTCTGCCTCATCACATGGTTGAAGCCATTCAACCATGGAGTGAAACCTCTGAAACTGTGTGATCCAAAACAAATCTTTCCTCTTTGTAAGTAGTTTATCTCAGGTATTTTGTCACAGGGACCAAAAGCTGACTACCATACCCTCTCATCTCCCATCTTTTTGGTAGAAAGAAGTCCAGGGAAGGGACAAATGCAATGAGCGATCATAGCTCACCCAAACTAACCATGAAGTCCATAAGAATAATTCCCTGATTCTTTAATAAATACTCACAAAACACCCTGCTGGTAATGTGTATGTTTTCCAAAGGGATGCACATATTTAGTCTACTTGATCTACTTTGTCAAGGAAATCTGTTACTTTATATTTTAGCCATTAAGTGTCTTACAGATTTCCTTGGTGAAAGTCACTTCCCTAAGCCCAAGAACCATTTGCATTGTGAATTTTTGGAACCGCAAAGCTAAAGGTCAGGCATTTGGAAATGGAGAACAAAGCAATGTCCTCCCCTATCTTTACAATATTAAGTTACAAAAAATATCCTCAATTTTATTTATGAGTAACAGTTTAGAAAAATTAAATCATGTTTGGGGGTGCAGAGAAGGGAGTAAGGAACTTAAGGGATATTCACCTTGTGAAGGTCAGATTATTTTTGGAACGAGTGTTCCTCACATTTTGTCCTTAGCTACCTACACGGTATTACTTCTTCACATTTGCAATTATTGGCTCATTTAACAAGCATTTATTTATTGCCTTCCATTATTCTCACAGGCACCATGTTAGGTCCTGGGGACATAACAGTCTGACCTTGGGAGAGCTTGCAGTCCAGTGGGAGACACAGAATGAGCTAAGAATACAATACTAGCATGACAAGTAAGAAGGGCACAGCCACTGAAGGAGAGGAAGTGGACTGAGGTGTGCCATACCTGAGGAGCAACTCAGAGTACAGTGGATCTAGTAAGGACTTAGCAGAGTAGTAGAATGATCCATCTACGTGAATGGCACAAGCCTCTGCAGAACAGATAAGGGAAAACTCTAGAATCCAGCAAGAATTCTTAAGAACTATTATGATTGAAAGGGCAAAAGTGGGTAAACCCAGACCCCCAAAACTACTTGTAAAACATCTTGATGCTCAAGACAGCCACCACCCACCCCTACCACTTCTGTAGGAAACCCCTCTGGTTCTTAGCTGCCTCAAGTACACTACATCTCTCCTAGTCCTTCCAATATGTGTGCCTCAGGCTTCATTGCATCTCACTTAGCCTATAAGCAGGGACTTTAGGGCTGCCACTCTGGAAGCCCTAGCCATTCTGGCTGCCCTAACTGCCACTAAAGAGTGGTGAGAACCTGCTCTCCTGGCAGGACAGAGGTTATACTCACAGGCTTGAGATCACAGTGGATGATTTTCTCTACATAAAGCATTTGCAAGCACTTCAAGACAGAGAGGGTGAAGCGCCGAACTACCGACAGACTGAAACCTTGAAAGCTATTACTCTTCATCAACTCGTACAAGTTGATTCTGGGAAAGACAGAAAAAGTGATGAGTATAAAAAGTATCCAAGTTTGAACCTACAAACAATCCTGTGTTATCTGGATTCCCTTCTAGAAGCAAGTAAATCTCAAATCAGTAGGCAAGGTTTTTCTTTCTGATAAACTGAGCCTTCTCAGTGACTCAGGGTAGACCTAGATTGGCACTCAACCATGCTGGATTCTCCAATGTACCCTGATTTCTTACATGACAAAGCCACTTAAGTACTTTATTTACATGAGTGGGTTCAGAGATTGGATCAAATTTCTATAGTAGTCATAGTTCTCAGGCCCTTGGAAGGGCCCCGGAAGCCCACTAGTCACTCAACCAAGTCATTCCTACCCTGACCTAACAAGATTATCTAAATATTGTAGGTAAAGGAGAAAGGGAGTGTGCTGATGAGAGAGCTAAGGTAAATGAGGGACTCCTACTCTATAAAGACAAGTGTGGCTGCTTGGTCCCATCTAACTGTGGCTTTGCTATAATGAAGGCTGGCTCTTGCCAGATAATCCTCAGTTCTCTAGAGAGGCAGAATCCTGAAATGTTATATAAAAGCATATTCAATTATATGAAATCTGCTAACTTACAAGTCTTGGAAACTAATTCCAAGCATTTTAAAAAGAAAAACTTGTTTGTAAATTGCCAGTTTGTGATCTCTGTGCAAACTGTGAGACAAAGATAGGAAGGAAAGAGAAGGACCTAGAAATGACTCTGCAGGCTCTTCCTGATCTTTCATTTCTAAGATTCTCTAGCCTTGGTGGTATTTAGAAAGCCATATTTTTTGTACCAAGAATTGAACCTAGGGACACTTAACCACTGAGCCACATCCCCAACACTTTTTTTATATTTTATTTAGAGATAGGGTCTCAATAAGTTGCTTAGTGCCTTGCTAATGGCTGAGGCTGGCTTTGAATTTGCCATCCTCCTTTCTCAGTCTCTTGAGCTGCTGGGATTACAGGTGTGCACCATTGTGCCTGGCAAGCCATTCATTCTTGAGAGGTACAACAGAGAAATGCCATCCTGACCTGTGACCCTGGGTACCTCCACCTTACTGGGCTTAGGATTCTCCTTCTACACACTGGCCTCTCTTGACCTCACAGAGCCCTTTTAAAGTACAGTGATGTCCTAACCGGGCATTGTGATTAATGGGCAAGAAAGGCAGCCTGGACTGTCTGTTTTGCTCCACAGAAGACGATCCACTGTTGCATATGGTAGGATAGAACACATTTTGTAATTATCAGAGAAGGTGAGGGGAGTGCCCATGTTCCCTCTCAAATATAGCCTGTTCCTAGAACCTCACCATCAGTGATGGTGTCGCGGGAGCACCAAGTACTAACTCAGGGAATCCAGAAACATATGTCTTCTAAGGGTTCACCCTGATTTTTCTCCTTTGCTAAATGTCTTCTGGGCTTGTTTAAATTGCATCATATTGACTTCTCACAGAGAAGAATAATCAAATTAGCATTTGATTATTTCCCATTTGGAATGCTTTTTCAGTTCCAATATTCACCCAAATGATTCCAATCTATTTAAATCAAGACTCTGCTCTCTTACCCAAAATATCTGCCCTTCTCCTTCTTTACTCAGAATTGAAGTCCTTTTCCCACTCTGATAATCCAGCTTCCTGTTCTTTTAGGTTTCAACCTCTGTACCATAGAGATGGGAAGCCAGTGTGTGGGGAACATGATAGCAAAGAAAGTCCTTTTAAACATGTTTCAATTTAGCTCTTGAGGGCAGAGGCCTTGTTTTGGATTTTCCACCTACTCAGTACTTAGTCCTCAGCACCAGGGAAGCACAACATGAGTATGCTGGCAGATAACAGGTTTGCTGAGGAATGGGGTGAGATCTCAGTTTTGGGTCTCATTCTCCTCACTTCTGGACCTTCTAGATAACTGTGCGTCTGCTATGTCTACACTAGTCACTAGATATTCACGCCCAGAAAAATCTAGTTTTATGTCTTCAAAGTTTTTCTTCAAGTTCCCTTAAGCAACTTTTCAAAAGAAAATGAATCAAAAAGACTTACCCCAAAAGTTCAAAGGTGATGCAGAGGTGATTCCGGAAGTAGAAAAAGTCCTTCATGTGTACCACATTGTACTTGTTGTCTTTATCTTTCCTTCTGAGGGCTTCCAGGATCCTCAGCTCCACCAGGGCCTGGTGGTGAAATCTGAGGTGATTGGGGAGTGGCAGGGAGGGTGGGGAATGAGGACAGAAAACACAGGTATCATGTCATAGTGCAGCAGTTAGCCCATTTTCTCAGACCCTACCACAACCCCAACAGAAATGTCTAACACCGCAGAAAGCACTAATAACTCCACACTCTTACTTCCGCTTTGCCCCTTCATGGACTCAGACATGAAGAGAGAGAAATAGGAAAGGGAGAATAAAGAGAAATATAAGAGGAAGAGGCAGAGTCAGAAAGGTTTGGAGTCCTGAGGCAGCTAGAAGCCAGGCAATCCATCTTCTATGGCCTATGTCATCCATGGAGCCACACCTCTTTTTGTTCCTGATGATTTTCAGGGCCACCAACTCATTGTTTTTGTGATCCAAGCACTTGGCCACCTGTCCAAAGGACCCTTTTCCAATCATCTCCAGAACCTCGTAGCGGTAGGCAATGTGGTCATGCAGGACCTGCAGAAGCCAGGCCAGAGGTGAGGAAAAGAGCCAGACCCTAGGGCCCTTGGATCCCCATCCCTAGATCATGGGTCACTCCTTGGAGGGAGTGGTTCTGAACTCCCACCCTTCTCTCTGTTACTGTAGTGGTTAGGTGATCTCCTGGATCCAAGACCACCCATGTAGTGCCAGGGACAGTTAGTTCCACAGGCTCCACCCATGTCAAGCAGTGAAAAGAACATTAGTTAGTCTTTGGAAATGTTGGGTGCTAGTCCCAGCCCTTTGGTTTCCTGCATGTCTTTCTTAGGACCTAAAAAGTAAGGGGGCTTGGCAAAACTGAAAGTCCTTTCTATTTCAGGAATTTCATGATTCTTCAAGTTCAACATCAGCTCCCTTTTGGGGGAGTTCTATCTCTGACCCTTGATGTCCCTCTATCAATCAGAGAAGTCTTTATGCCTGTTCTGTTCCTTCCTGACCAGATTTGGTCCTCTCCTAGTCTTATTCATATTTAGTCCCCTTCTGAAGCTAATACAGACTTTCTTGGTGAGAGTAATATTTTCTAAGAGCCAGAATCACCCATGACTATCCTTGTGCAAGAAACCAGGTGTTTAGTTAAAACCACAGGAAATTTTCCATTAAAGACTTGAGCTAGGTGTCTTCAAATAAGTCACTTATGTACTCTGAGCTAGAGTGACCTCATCTGTGAAGATGAAGATGAGAATCTGGATAAGATGATTTCTAAGGTCATCAGGCTCTTGATCTCAGCTTTCTACAATTACACATGAATTTGAAAGAGGTGAGGGATAAGCGTGTACAAGTTTTCAGGTTGGTTTGTGACTGTGTTTGAGGATAAAGGATTATTCACAAAGAAGAATCAACACCATAAATTTGAGCATGTAAAACTTTTTACTGATACATCAGAGAGGGTTAGTCTAGACTAAAGGTCTTTCATGAAAATGGGACAGAATCTGCACAAATTTGGCATATATTTTTCAAGCATTTACATTTATCTTCTTCATGTCATCAGTTTGGTTGCCTCATAATTATTGGCTTACACGTCATCTTGGACTTTGGTTGTGCTTACTTGACTCATGATAGTTCCCTTTGTATTTTCAGAGTCTAATAGATGCCAAGCTTATGACAGGTGCTCAGTAAATAATTTTACAATTAACATTTGTTGTGAGAATGTAGCTGTCATTTGTTTAGGAATTATATATTTGTGTATATGCTGGAATAAAATAGGAATAAAAATTGGAGCTTACAGAGAATGCACATTATCCCTCTCTCCCCATGAAAATCATACTTCTCTAAGATTTGAGACTGAAGAACTGAGTTCCAGTGAATTCCCATAAAGATAGTACTGAACCCCAGGTGATTTCTTAGAGACTCTAGACTCAGGTAGGGCAAAGCAAAGGAAGGAGCAAGGAGTGAGGGGTTGTGGACATGTGGTTGAATTGGAGAAAATGTTTATATTGAAGATTCTTAACCAAGGACCCATTAATGCCCCAAAGCATTGCACACGCACAGCTTAATGTTTCTGGGATGAGGATACTCAAAGGGATCCTTGACCTAAAATTGTTAAAAACCAGGGTTCTAGATGAAGAGTGAGTGATAAAATCACATCCTTGCTTCTTAAAAGTGTTACCTAAGGACCTGTGGTATAGGCTTCACCAAGATGCTTTTCAGAAATGCAAAATCTCAGGTCCCACCCCAGACCTGCTAAACACAAATCTGCACTTGAACAGGAACCTAAAGTGATTTGTGTGCATAGTCAAACTTGAGAAACATGATGTTAAGAAAATTTATCTCTTCTATGAAGCCCTCAAAGATTCATATCCTAAAACCAAGTTGTGATGAAATTTCCAGAAGTAGGAAAGTGCAGACAGCTCACAGCCTGTCTGGAACTAAGTGTCACTCATGCAGGCATCCTCAGAAGAGGGGATCACTGTCCAGATTTCATCCTCAGGCTAGAAAGAGGCATTACCCTGGGATCCCCAGAGGTACAGTCAGAAAAGGAGGAGTCTCTGCAATCAATTTTTGAAAAATGGAATGAAGTGAAGCACTGTACACCAGGGACACTACAGTGACAAAAACTATTCTTGTCTGTGGAGGGAATGACATCTGCTATAAAACACAAAAGGGGCCATGAATGGGCTTGTGTGGAGGAGACGAAAAGGGAGATTGAGGGGCAAGTGCATCTTACTCCAGTCTGATCTTTTCCAAGGGTATCCAGGACGGTGCAAGAGAATAGCCTGTGAGAGTTCACTCAGGATGCAAACTTGTTATCCCAAATACCCTTGAAGAAAATCACCATTCTGTTAGAAGATTTTGCATACTAAATTTCAGGTTTAAATAAGGTGTTTATTTGGTTTAGCACCTATTAGCATCTGTTGGAATGTCTAGTTCCTGTCATATCAACACAAAACATTATAAAATATCCCCTTTTGCTTTCCTTTCCATACTCTCTATTGCACCCAAGCCACCTGAGGTCACCATGACCTCCTCCCTCATCACCTTCAGATAGGAGCCATGTTCATCATCAAAACTTGTCTTGCTGAATTTCTCTGGAGCCACATTGAGTTTCTCAGCATCAAGCCCCAGGAACCATAGCTCTGTGTAGCCCAGGATTTCACTTTGCTCATAAGGAGACAGCTTACTCTTAAAATTCTTTAGGGCTTCTATGTGAAAAAAACAGGATAATTGTTAGTTAAGTTGAGGCAACAAGGGTATTTACCGAAAGTGCAGATGATGTGATGTCTTTTCTAGTTCATGAGCCTTTTCCTCAAATAGGTGGTTTCTTAAAGATCATGCATGGAGAATATTCCCACGAGGAAATATAACAAGGATAAATGCCAAGGTTTTGGAACTATTTCAAAAAATTCAATATGACAACACAAACATAAGGGAAAAGAGAATTTAGTGCCCCAAGAGCTATGGGTTGCTGCAAAATAGGAATTATTATTATTATTATTATACATATTTAAAATAATAAGTCCAGAAGTAAAGCCCATAACAACAATAGTGTACCATTAAGGTGAATTTGTCCAAGTTCATGTGGAATCAGGTCAGACAAATAGTTTATTTTGAGAAGTTTTAAAAACTACAAGTTTTCTGGACCAGGCAGGTGACATAATGCTGGGAGCCATTAGCCAAGTAGATATGACAATTTCCTTGCCAGCGTACCCCATGTTGCAGTGACATTGAATGTAGGTGACCTTGCTCAAGGACCAGGGCGGATTAGGGTGTTCCCGGTTCAGGATAATTGGGTTTAGGGCGTTCCAGGTTTAAGATTATTCCTGCTAGGAATAGGGCGTATCCTGCTGCCTGAGTTCCCCTTTGAGTTCTCACAGGATTCAGACAGTATTTTTTGGGAGACAGAAGCCCAGTGGAGGTGGATTTGGGCAGAGAACGTGGATTTCCCCAGAACGTGATTGTAGACGGCTGGTGTGAGTTCGGGAATAAAGAGTTGCTGTTTGAATCTACAAGCTGTGTGGTGGCTCGTGATTTTGTGCCCAGCCAGACTGCGGCAACATAAAAGCAACTTTAGAAGTCCAGTGGTATAGTCCAAGGAGAAGGATAGCTGGGTCAAACTAACAGTGGTTCTAGTCCCAGATTTCCAAGGAATCTCCATACTGCTTTCTAAATTGGCTGTACCAATTTGCAGTCCCACCAGCAATGTAGGAGTGTACCTTTTTTAAAAAATAGCAAACTATAGGAACACAGCCACATCAATGTTTATAGCAGCACAATTCACAATAGCTAAACTGTGGAGTCAACCTAGATGCTCTTCAGTGGATGAATGGATAAAAAAAATGTGGCATATATACACAATGGAATTTTACTCAGCATTAAAGGAGAATAAAATCATGGCATTTGCAGGTAAATGGATGGCGTTGGAGAAGATAATGCTAAGTGAAGTTAGCCAATCCCCAAAAAACAAATGCTGAATGTTTTCTCTGATATAAGGAGGCTGACTCATAGTGGGGTAAGGAGGGGGAGCATGGGAGGATTAGATGAATTCTAGATAGGGGAGAGGGGTGGGAGGGAAAGGGAGGGGGCAGGTGATTAGCAAGGTGGTGGAACATGATGGACATCATTATCCAAAGTACATGTATGAAGACTCAAATTGGGTGTTAATATACTTTATATATAAACAGATATGAAAAATTGTGGTATATAAGAATTGTAATGCAAAAAAGTACATGTATAAAAGCATGAATTGGCATGAACATACTCTATATACAAAGATACAAAACATTGTGCTCTATATGTAATGCACTTCTCTATCGTGTATTTAAAAAAAATAAAATCAATAAAACTAAAAAAAAAGAAAAAAGAAAAAAAGTCCTGTGGTTACTCCCACTCCCGCCTGCAGGGGAGCCAGCTAATACTTCAAACCACAGAGGGAATGCTTGTTAGTGCCTCTCTAAGCTACATGAGACAGATCACATGAGCGTTTGTGTTAGGGCAAGCGGGGCGAGGTGGGGAGTGAGATTCACACTTGAATAAAATGAAGAGTACTCAGAGACAGGAAGCCAGGATCAGGGTAGGAGGCACCATGTTATTTGACAAATTGCTGAAAAGTTGAACTGTGAGGAGAAAGAAAGAAAAAAAGACATAGAGCACAAGACCACTGTCTTCATATACCCGAAGAGCAGTCATGTCAAAGCTAAATAAGGTATGTTCCTTGCCCAAAGGACAGAATCAGGACCCAAGATAGAAGGAGGCAGATACCATCTCTGTAAACGCAGAATGAACTCAGAACTGAAATCATCTCCTGGCAGGAGGGTCACTCCTGAGATCATTTAAGAAAGACAACAATCTCAACTTCAGCACTGTGGCAGAAGAGCTGTGAGCATTGGACAGTGTTGACATATGGTAAGTGCTAAGTGGACTTTGGTTCTCTTCCTTTGAATCCTAAGAGGTCATGAAATCTCTGAACCTTGTGAGGAGCGTGGCTCCTGCCAAAAGACTGTGTGTGATCTTTCAGACCTCACAATAGACAATTACCCAGGCTTAATCTGGCAGGCTCCACAGGGGCAGCTGTCTTCCCCCACCAGACTTGGTCCACAGCCCGAGCTTGTAGTCTCTGACCAGAGCTGCAGCTGAGGACCAAATTCTCCTGGCAGGCGACTGACTCTCTAAGGCATATGAGCCTGTCTAACCCAGAAGCCCCCACTCAGAGCCCTCTATTGGAGACCCAGCTGAGGCCTGCCTCAAGCACCTCTGCCAAGACCCCCTTGTCAAGAGAAAGGCAGAACTTTCAGGACACTTTACTTTCAGTATTCTGGACTTGTCCACTCCTAGCTCCTCCCCACTCACTTTCCTCTGTTCCTAAGTCCATAAAATGACAGAAGTCTTTTGTTGGGACTCCCCAGGCAGTGAGACAGTGCCCTCTGTCTGCACTAAAGCATCTGACGCTTACCTGGAATAGTTCCAAGGTAGGTAATAGAACAGTGTGATGCTGGTATTTCCTCTTACCCAGCCTCTTGTTTATACTGTTTCAGTAAGAGGGTAAAGGCTTAACTTCTTTCATTTTGATTTGTAGCCTTAGTTGACTACTCCAGCATATGGCAGCTAAGCCCTCTCCAGGTCAGCTCAGCTCTTAACACTGACCCCCCCCAACCACCGCCTATGCTGATACTGCCCACCCCACCAGTGTCATACCTGCTGCCGTCAGAGGCACCTTGTGCTTCTTTGGTGGTTTCTCTTCTACCTTGTGTTCATGAGTCTTCATGCTAGGGTGGAAAGGTGCTTCTAAAGCCTTGTACTCAGAGGCCAGCTTACGACTGTGCGTTTGAATTTCCTGTCCAAGGAAAGAAATTGGTAATAAAGAACTACTTCAACTTCTTCTGGGGGACGTAAACTATTTATATGCCCCAAAACACTCACATCCAGACAGGATTTGTCCTACCTTTCCAGGGAGAAAACAGTAGTTAAGAGACAGTAGGTTTTCTCCACCTTTCTCCCAAAGGAAGTATCTAATTCTCATCTCATGCCCCAGGAGACATGCACATTAGAGCATACAGTTGACAACCCCAGGGGTGTGTCACTGTAGAAAGAGATGAGAACAGTTTTTATCATTGCTCTTGAGGAGGCCAGTTCCTAACTAGATAAAGTAATTTGCTTAAGGACATGTAAACTTGAATTTATATAACAACACCTCTTACGACTTTTCTACATGGTATCTTATTGGGTCCTTTTACAAAAATGGTAGATGACATGGAAGGAAAACAAGATTTTGTTTTCTTCTATCATTTATACACCACAACTTCATTTTTCCTTTCCTCAATGAATCACCCCTGACGACAACTCCCTAAAGGCCCACTTTGTAGGTAAGAGAAAGTAAAAGGCATATTTACCCAAGTACATATTCAGTACAAAGAGTGAGAAAAGGACTTGAACCCAACTCTTTAGCTGCTACTCCTTTCCCCCTCCTTCTTGGACTTTTCTAGATGTGGTTCTGAACTGAAGCTAGGTCTTTCACCTGTCTGCTCAGGAGCATGTCCACTGCCCTATACTCACCCGGGACAGCACACCAGGCTTCAGCAGAATTTTGTTGCTGATGTGTGGGAGGTTGATCACATTCTTCTTCTCCTTGGTATCCATAAAAGGGAGTGAAGTAATGTTGGTGTTTGTACCCTATAGGAGGAGAAATTGGATAAGGTATAGAAACCTCAGATAAGAAAATTCTCCAGAGGTCATTTCTTCTAGACTCCTCCCCACAACAAGGATGAGCCTAAACCCAGATTCTTGGAGGGAAAAAAAAGAAGATTCCAGGGAGCAGAGTAATCTAGCAGACAGGATCTGGGGTTGACTCCCCATTCCACCACTCACTAGCTGTAGACACTGAATAGGTCACATTGATTCAGCCTTAATTACTTCATCACTCTCAAAAATGGGACCTACCTCATAGCTTTTGTGAAACTATGCAGAGTATTCCATAAGTGATAGCCATTATTATTCTCATTCCAATATCTTACCTTCCAAACATGGAGAAGGCCTTTCTGCTATACAATGCAAATCTTTCTTAATGCAACATAAACTCCCATTTCCTCTACGGCTACTTTATAGACTTGACCTTCTTACTTGGATCACTGCCCTCCTACATTGATTGATTAACTGATTGGTAAAGAGATAATCTAACTATCAACAAATAGCCATGTTTAAAACTGTGTGGAGAGAAGCATGGTGATATGGATATAGGGCTCTCATTGTCATGCTGAGTTGGCCAAAAGTGCCTGTAAAAAGCTATTTCTTCCATCCACTGCCCTCGTCCTTTCCTAAAGTCACTAACCAACACTTCCTACCTTATGCAAAAGTCGGGTCATTTTGAGGTTCTTGATCTTGGAGGGTGGCTTCTGGACTTGAGCCAAAGGCTTATTTTCAACCTGAGTCAAGTAGAAGAAAAGTGTAATAAGGCTTGACAGGGCTTCATTCCAAGCCACCTGGACCTTTATTTCATTTCCTTACAATAAGCAAGGTATACTTGAAGCCAGCTTTCCTGATCCCAAGCTAGAAAGAGTTCAAAGAAGCTCAAAGAAGTACTCAATGCATGAAATGAATTACTACCCACAAATAATCTTTCCAGAAGTGCTAATGATGGATCCACTTGTCTTATGATTTTCACACCTTAAAAAATCAATATATGCTTTCTTCCAACACAGTCTTAACCAGCATCCTTGTAGATGGTAAGGAATAGAAGTGGAGCTAATGTTATCTTGCTCTTTAGAAAAGAAAATGCTCTTAGTCTTGCCCAGAACTCAAAATGCCCAAAGATGCCTTAGTGGAACCTGCCAGGATACAGATGCCCAGCCTGAACACCAGTGCTCTCATCAGAAAGGCTTCACATCTAGAAAGGGGTGGAGAGGAAAAGACCACAATCTTAGAACAATTTTTTCCAAGGTAGTAAGCATACCACAGGGGTAGGTGACATAATTCCATGCAGGATGCAGATAGACAATCACCTAATGGCTATGCATTTATTTTGCTATCCATTTGAAAAACTATAAGAAGCACTTTAAGCATGTGATTTTGCAGTTATTATTACTTAGGATGAAATCAAAATTTAAGTAAAAAAAAATTAAAGGGAGCATGATATATGGCAAAAATTATGAAGGCAGCACTGAAATGACTAAAGTTTAGCAAACAGCCTTCAGTTTGAACACAAGTTCTGTTCTTTGAAACAAAACTTAGAATTCTCTTTCTTCCAGACCTTCCCTAGAGACCTGAAGGAAGCACATCTAAAGCTGAGATACAGGGGGCCAGACCCTTTTAAATTTGGCAACTGAGGTACAACATTTATTGTCCTTTAGCACAGCTGAGTCCTCCACAGAGCAGTACTGATGGGGGCATTTAGAATATTCGGTCTTGACCTCCTGGAATATGAAGGTAATCTGAGGGAGAGAAGATTTCACAGAGCATAGGCCATGGTCTCAGACCACGTTGGTTGATTTGCTAATGTGCACTACATGCAGATGTGGTTATCTATGAATAGACTGTGATGATATCTGAGGAAATATTGCAATTGTGAATCCACTTCTCATTAAGTAGGTTTATGAATATTAAAACTCGGAGGTATCAGCAGTAACAACAAGCTGGCATTGAGGATGCAATGGAGAGACCAACCGGTGAATGGAAAGTACATCAACAAAATACAGCCCAGACTAAATATCAGACAAAGGACATCAGTGAGTGTCAAGTGTCGATTGAAAAAAAAAAAAAAAAAAAAGGAAGATACCATCATAAATGCAATGAGCCCAGGAGGAGGGGAAAGGGACTTCTGGAATGCATGGGGCTTGGTCTGGACTGAGAGGAAGGGAAGACAACATGCTCATTAGCTGAAGCAACAGTATCCAGGCATGGTCCAGGGGTCTCCACTGCTCAGAGAGGATAAGCTGGAGCACATGGTTGGCTGTGGGTTGCAGAAGCATTGAAAGCTAGGCTAAGAAACTTGGTCTTATCCTATGGGCAAATGTGAACCACTGAAGGTTTGTATACGGTATGTGCAAAGCAAAGCCATACTTCAGAAAGATTCCTTCAGCAGCTGTGTGGCATGACAATACTCAAGGGCATGAACTTGGAAGTCACACTCTTTCATTTTGAATCCAGTTCCACTACTCATTAATTATTTGAATTTGGGAGAGTCATTAACTTCTCCTCCTATTACTCGAGGACATTATCATTAACAAGCTCATAAGGTTGTTGTGAGGAAGAATGACTTAATGTGTGCACAGCACTTCAACTAGTGCCTCGAATGTGTTAAGAGTTATAGAGTTCAATTTTCCTCATTTGCAAAATGCCGAAAGTGATCTGTGCTCATTTCCCATGAAATTGACGGAGGATGAACAAGATGGCTAAAGGAGCTATGATGCTTAACTTGAGAAAAGAATAAAACAAAAGAGAAATTCTCATAGATTAACATTATGGTAACTGTCATATACATATATTGGAAATGAACAATTAAGAAGTAGACAGCAGCTGGGCGCGGTGGCAAATGCCTGTAATCCCAGGAGCTCAGGAGGCTGAGGCAGGAGAATCTCGAGTTCAAAGCCAGCCTCAGCAATATCAAGGCACCAAGCAACTCAGTGAGACCCTGTCTCTAAATAAAATATAAAACAGAGCTGGGGGTGTGGCTCAGTGGCTGAGTGCCCCTGAGTTCAATCCCTGGTGGCCACCCCCCAAAAAGTCGAAGGCAGATGGTAGAAACCAGGTTTCTCTTTGTTGGAATGGAAATTTATGGATCAGAAAAGTCTAATCAATATTACCATCATGTTATAATGGACCATAATTGGAGATATAGCTCATGTTTAAGTTAATATAGATACATATGGCTACATGTAGAAATATTTATGTATATGTGTGCATGTGTGTGCACATGTCCAGGTGGCTTGGGATAAAGCCCTGTCAAGAAAAGTTTAAGAAACTGTCAGAGCCAAGAGGAGACTAAAGAGACATGTCAACTAAATGTAATACGGGATCCTGGAACAGACAAAGGACATTAGGTAAAAATTAAGGAAACCTGCATGAAGTATAGAGTTTGGTTAATGATAACATATCAATATTGGTTCATTATTTATAACAAATGCACTATGAGATATAAATAATAAAGGAAACTGGGTACATGGTGGGGAGTAGTGTGTGGAAACTTTTATATCTCTCTCTTTTTTTTTTGGTAAGTCTAAGACTATTCTAAAAATTAGTCTTTTATTAAAACAAAACTCCTATAGGAAGGGCAATGTCAGAAGGGCTGCCACTTATGATATAGTACAAATTTCTTCTATGTGGTTCAAAGGACAGAATCAGGTCAAAGTGTGGGAATTATAGGGAAGTAAATGGAAATTTATGGATCAGAAAAGTCAAATCAATACTACCATCATGTTATAATGAACTATAATTGGAGAAATGTCTGGTTCAATAAAATGAAGAATTTTATAAAATTTAGAGTTGCACATAAAAGGTAGGAGTCTCTCTGAAGCATTGACTTTCCCATCAGGTGGAATCCACCTGATGATCATCTGTGCAAAATGTGCATGGAACGGGAGGCTGGGCAAGATGTAATCTACAAAGTCCTATCAGTTTGTTAAGACTTATTCAAGTGACTTCCGGATGTGTGTCTTAAGAGCTTTCTTCGGTTTGGATTTTCAGTGTCCTCCAAAGGGAGGGCATGTGTTGAAGGTTTAGTCTCTAGCCTAAGGCACTCCTGGGAGTTGGAACCTTTCAGAACCTGGCCTCCTTCTGTTTCTCTCTTTAATGTTCCAGCTGCCATGAGACAAGAAGCTTTGTCCTAACACATGCTCCCCGCTATGATGTTCTGCCTTGCCACAGGCCCAAAGCAAGAGGGACAAGCTACCGTGGACTGAAATCCTCTAAAATTCTGAGGTCAAAATCAATCTTTTCCTCTTTATATGATTATCTCAGGTGTTTTGTCATAATAACAGAAAACTTGCCAACACAAACTTTATCTTTCCTCTTGTAGAACCAAAGCTGCAATCTATTGAACAGAGCCATGCTTCCCAACCTTTGTCACATCATGACACATACAGAAAAAAATTTAATACTTATACAGCAACGACGGTCAAGACAGGAGGCAACTCACAGCCAGGGGTTCCAGCTGCCCCAGGTCTAACCAAGTCACCCCCAGGATGGGTGGCTTCTACATCTCTGTACCCCATCTCCCATACTCAGATAACAATATGTTGTTGTACAAGATTATGAGCTTGGTGGCTCTGTTTCCTGCAGTTTCTCCAAGAGGCACACAGTGTCCCATCACAACACTACATTCTACCATGGCAGGAAGAAGAGGGTGTGATCTCCCATATTCATAGTAAAATGTCACCTTTCTTTCAGACAGTGAATTTTGGTGTCATTGTCCTTTGGCTCTGCACTGATTTCTAAGTCAATGCAACAGGAGTCTCTTTAATAGTCCTTGTATCTACATTTGAACTCTCCTGTGTAAAAAAGACTTTATTCACAGGGTCACATGGCAAAGCTGGGGTTTCCAGTGCAGTCCATGAACTGTGGCTGGATTCTGGGAAATAAGAAAGGGCACAGGGAGCTGATAGAGCCTTTTCCACTTCTCTGTATGCATTGCTGTTCTTAGAAGCTTCCAAAACAGCCAGAAGTCAACTGTAAAGCCCCTTGATTTCCCAAACCTTTTATATAAATATGCACTGCTTTTATAATTTAAAAATCCTATTATTTAAAAACAAAAGGGCCAAATATGGTGGCACAGGACTCTGGAGGCTGAGGCAGGAGGATCCCAAGTTTAAGGCCAACCCCAGCAATACAGCAAGACCTTGTTTCAAAATAAAAGATAAAAAAAAATGACTGGGTCATGTGGCTCAGTGATAAAACTCCTCTGAGTTCAATCCCCAGTATCGAAAAATAAAAATAAAAACAAAAGGTATTACAACAGGTAATTATCAAAAGTTCTAATCAATGACGGGGCAGGAGGTACTCTGGGCAACTGAGAGCCTAGATAGAGTGGATTAGTTTATAGAAGAGGACAGTGAGGACCTGGGCTGGGAGAACCTGGGAGGATAGAACAGGAGATGCTGGCTGGGGCTGTTAAGATTCTCCCCACTAGGGGCCCTCATTTAAATTTGAGGGCTCCTCTGTTGTCTCTATCTGTGCTTCCCATAGCCAGGTCATGGACCCACAGGGACTGGACACCACACGAAAATGCAAGTAAGGGGCTGATCCGAGCCTGGAGTTTCTTGTCCTGACCCAGGGCTCCTCCTCACCTCTCTCCTGTCTGTCTTCTGAGCTAGCTGGCTAGTTCTCACTAGGCCAGGCACTTAGGTTCTCACACTTATTTTGTTTTCTCAGCCAAAACCTTAAACCATGGCAGGTGGCAGATTCTATCTGCTGCTTTATAAAAGCCAGCTCA